CACTTAGGGATGTACAGTTATTGGAAAATAATAAACTTCATGGCACACCACCCAGTCATGTTTTAATCCTAACATAAGATTTGTGTATTAGAGTATTTTTTTGTTCAAGAGAGAAAAAATAATAAACAAGTTATACATCAATCCTTAATTTTATAGAGATTATGTTGTCAGTATGAATTGTTGATTTATGGAACATTGTATGCATTCAAGGTGGAAATACATAACAGAATTCTACGATCAGCTACTTAATTCTCAGCAGGAAGGCTAGAGGAGATGAAAGTCCAGCATCAACTATTTCACTGCTGCATTTACTATTACTGAATTAATGACGCCAGATTACAGTCAACCAAATAAGTACGGGTAGATGTCCAGCAACTGCACTCAATATCGAAATTCCAATAAATAGCATTTATCCAAAATATATCCAAGCTAAGATTTCTACTGCACTTCTCCATCAATTGCCTGTGACATTAGTTCCAGGAATCTTAGCAAAACTATGTATATACATAGTTAATTCAGTGCCATGTGCATCACAAGATGAGCCATGAGACATTCTGATTATCTCCCCATGAATACATGTACTGTACGTATAATCTTTGAGTCCCAGAGGTTCCTCTGACTGTATAATGTTCTTTAAATTCTTGAACAATAATGTATGCTTGTCCTCTCGCTGGGTTCAATCTGGTCTGCTCGTTTCAAGCACACTAATCCTAACGACAGTTTTCTAATCTTCTTGCCTGTTCTCTAATAAAGCATTACAAGATGTAGCCCTAGGAATAATAACTGCCAGTTCCCAGTGGATGCTATCAGATATTATTTGCGTGTAAGAAATTAAAATAGGAACAATTTTACTTTGGAATATGAGATTTGCAAGTTTGCATTTGAATGGGTTTTTTAAATAGCTATGTGGAATTCAAATTTCATAATCTCAATTATTCAGAGTAGATCCTTTCTGCAGATGCCTTTATTTGACATTTCATGCTCATTCATTACAGATGTTTGACTAATAATCTGTCTGAAAAGGAACTGCACCTACATCTGCTATTCCGAGGTTATTTAATCGAAGCGTAAGGAACATTTTGAGCTTGGTGGATAATCTGCAGGAAGCCTGCTCGCCCCGCACACAGATGTCAGTTCAGCTGCACCTGCTGAGCACAGCCAGGACACCTGCTGTACATTTCTCTGCTTCACCTTCTTTAATCTGCCAGCAGTCTCTTAGTTAATCTACTGAAATGTCTGCCAAAAGCTTGTTTTCCACAAGTCACACATCCATACAAAAAAAGAGGACTTTTAGGCACCCAGCCTGATGTTTGTTTGCAGAAAGTACTTTGCACATTCCTTGGTCTGAATTTTCCACTTGTTTAGTCTCTCCAGCTTTTGTTTTCACTTCACAGTCTCACTCACTCCCCACCCCCTCATTCCCTTTCCCTCATGTACAAGCAGTGATGCGCCAGCAGCTGTTCTCTCTCCTTGTTTCAGGCACGTACCTGTTTACATCAGGCTATCAAGCTCTTCTATGATTCTTATTGCCTCAGGCATATGTTTGCAAATGTGTGGTATAAGTGCACTTGCAAGACTGCGAGACTGAATGAATGCATGCCAAGATTTCACCATGCAATTTACAAAGAAGAAAGTGAAATGTCAACAGTGGAAACTACAAAAGTGATCAAATAAAAAGGTGATTCTACCCCTGCATTTGAACAACTGTGTGTGTGTGTGCGTGTGTGTGTGTGTGTGTGTGCGTGTGTGTGTGTGTGTGCGTGTGTTTATCTCTGTAATAGTTTTACCCTGGAGGAGTGTTGGGAACATGCTATAGGGAGGGTACAGACCACCACTTCTTGTGCTCGACTTGGACTTATACAGTTCAAAGTTTTATATAGTCCATCTGTCCAAGTCGAGATTGTCTGTGATGTATCCGAATGTAGAGGACAAGTGTGATAAATGCCATGGATCTCCCTGTCACCTTGGCCATATGTTTTTCTTCTGCCCTCAACTCCATGGTTTTTGGTCTGGCTTTTTTTTACCATCATGTCCACTATTCTCAGGGTAGATTTAAAGACTTGTCCATTGATTGCGATATTTGGGATTCCTCAAGCTTCAATTCCTTTGAGCTCGATACAAAAGGATGTTATTTGTTATTGCTTTCACATCCCTTATAGCAAGACATTCCCTACTGTTACATTGGAAGTCTGCTAAATACCCATCTATCTCCCAGTGGATAAAGGACGTGATGTTTTTTCTGAAACTCGAGAAAATAAGATATACGATGAATGGTTGTACAGACAAGTTTTTTCATAAATGGCATACCTTTATTGCATACTTTATGGAGTTACAGACACTACCCACTTAAAGGTTGGTGCCTGTTGTTGAATTTTATAATATCTTTATAACCAGCGACAGTTAATGGGTAGCCATGATGACCCACCCGGAGGGGTGGGTTGTGGGTTCAATTTTGTTTTCCTTTGTATAAAAAGAAAAAAACCTGTGAATATTTACCCTGTGCGAACATGTGGCTGGTTGTTATAAAATAAAATAAAGAAATAGGGACAAAAATATTTATTTTATAATTTAATTTTATATTACCTAGGTTACAATTAGAGTCATATATATTTACATTTATTCATTGGCAGACGCTTTTATCCAAAGCGACTTACAAATAAGCAAAGCGATATATCAAGCAGGGAACAATACAAGTAGTGCTACTATACAAGATCCATTAATTGAATACCAGAGGAAGCAAAGTGCACAGAGTAGAGGTGTAAGTGCGTTGTGATTTTTATTTTTTTTTTTTTTCTCTAGGAGTTGGACAGGGTGCCAGTCCATAGCAGGGCACAACCACATACACACTCACACACCCATTCATACACTACGGACGCTTTAGACACACCAATCAGCCTAGGCATGCCTTTGGACAGGGGGAGGAAACCGGAGTACCCGGAGGAAACCCCCACAGCACAGGAGGTACATGCAAACTCTGCACACACATGGTCCCAGCAGGACTCAAACCTCGGACCCTGGAGGTGTGAGGCGAACGTGCTAACCACTAAGCCACGGTACGCCCTGATATACAAATCATAAATGAAATTAAATCAGCAATCATAAATTAATATAGCGGTGAGAATGATGTCAATTCACTGACATGAACATTCACACAGTAACGTAGCTACCATAGGTAACAATGGGAAGGTTTTTCAGAGGAGTGCCTATGAGAGGAGATGACCTCATATCATAGTTAATAAATATAATTGATGAAGACCTAAGCCTAACCCTATTGATTATTGTCTGTCTGTCTGATTTCACACAATACTCACTTTATAGTTCCTATTTTGGAAGTTTTGCCGTCTCGATCAAATGTATATTGAAGAATATCAGCTGTACTCATGAACTCCCAATATATAGAGTAGTGCAGGGATGATGCCACTTTGTATGCCAAATCCCAGAAATGAGTTAGCATTTTAGCCCTTCCGGTTCCATTGTCAAGATGTCAATGGGATTTTTTAATGGGATTTTGGTTAAAAGTCTGAAAAAAATGTCTGTGGTGAACACAAGCTCAAAATATTTTCATGTTTTATTCTACAACATGAAATACGTCAGTAATACCCCACTTGTGATTTTTTTAAAATCTTTTATGTGTATTGAAAAAGGTGGATGCTAACAAGTTGCTAAATGGGACTGCAGATATTGTCAGGGACATTAAACATCATCATGCCGAAGAAGAAGATATCATACTCAATAGTCTGTGTTTATAGACTCATGTTCTTGCAGTTTTTCGATTTGTCAGTTTGTCAATTTATAGTATTATGGAAAATGTTTTTAAATCAAATTTGGACAAGTTGTCGGAGGTTTGGTGACAGTGACGTTGAAGTCGAGCGACCGTGGTGTAGTTCCTTTATAGAAAGTTTTTTTTTTATTTCTGGTGATTGTACTTAGGCTTCATACTTCATAAAATTGTATTAATTTGTGAAAATTTTCTTGATGGACAAAACGTGTTCGTATTGTAAACTTGTGTTGATTACAGAGCTTATTTTTTTGTGATAATCCAAAAGCCTATGGGAAAATCCTATTGGATTTTTGTCAACACAATCAGTGTGATGCTAACTCCCGGGTTCCGGTACAAAATGACGTCATTTACAGATAAATGTAAATGTAAAGAAAATGTCAGCATATGTGAAAATCACCATCCTATTCGTGTCAGGACACTAACCCTCGCACATACCCCACCAGTCACACCAGTCACACCAGTCACACCAGTCACACCAGTCACACCAGTCACACCAGTCACACCAGCCACACCAGCCACACCAGCCACACCCTCCCCCACAAATGGATTCTGATGGGCTTCATGTAAGTGTTGGGTAAACTTCATTAATTATCTGAGTATAAAACCTTACCTTGAAGCAGAGACGTTGCTGTCGTTACTGTTTCTGGGACACCTTCTTTGCTATAAATGGACTGCAGGAACTCTGGAACACAGTCATTCTCGTCCGTGATGATGACACGTACCTGGTGCACATGGGAAAGCAGTAAGGAAAGAGAAATGGTGAAGATGCAGAGTGAAAGCAGACAGAATAAAAACTAATTAAAAAAAACAAGAAAAAAGGGCAAAGACCAAATACTGTATCTTCTATCAGTGGTGTGTGTTTGGAGACTCATAATGGGTTGCATATGAACCATGGCACAGTGAATCATGGAGATAAAAAGGAATTAGACGAAAAAGGGTGCAATGAGATGATATTACAAAGTTCTAGTGAAAGACACTGATTGTGTTGGGGATAGGGGGTGAGGGAGCACGCAGGGAGAATTTGGCAGTAATTGTCCTGATTTCTTACCGCACAGGAAACTATTTTGGCTATATTGCCTTTGAGTAGTAATCCTGCAAAATTGAGCTACCTTAGTTAATTGGTACAAATATTCTTTTTAGGGGAAATGTGAAATCTCTTGATTTTTACCTTGTATTATCTCTCCACTTTCCAGCTCTATCTGATATTCCATATATTATAGACAGTGGTAGCTCAGTGGTTAAGACATTGGCCTACTCATCAAAAGGCCATGAGTTCAAATCCCAGCTCTGCCAGACTGCCACTGCTGGGCCCTTGATCAAAGCCCTCAACTGTTCAGTTGTATAAATGAGATGCATGTAAGTTGCTCTGGGTAAGTGCATCTGCCAAATGCCATAACTGTAAAAATGTATTAAGTGAGCACCAAGCATTATAATAACATTATTATTAAGTATCAATTGCAATACAGTAAAGAAGAATACAGTACAGTGATAATAATATGAAGTACTAACATTGTCATGCATTTATTCCAAACTCACTTCTGACAATTAATTTAAAGAATTCAACACCAAAACAATACATTGCAAGGCATTTCAAACCTGAAAACCATTTCTTCCCACATTTTACTCGGTATGCAAATACAAAGTGAATTGCTAGTGTTACAGAGCCCAACAGCTGAGTTTGCATAAACAGTGTGATAAAGCCTTGATTCATTTAAGCTGAAAATAAAATTAAGAAAACATGCAATCAGCTGAATGCAGCGGTTTGAATTTTACACCACTAGTGAGAAAAAAATACGCATTAACAATTATTCATTAGGCAGAGACTTTTTATCCAAAGAAACATACAATTGAGCTGAGCAGATGTTGGTTAAGGGCCTTGCTCAAAGGCCCAACAGGTTGGCAGTGCCAGGATCTGAACTCACCTTTCTAAATAATCAGTATTTGAAACCCCAAACCACTTTCCCACCAATACACACAGTACATACAAGATAAACCACTGGATATGAGCGAGAACAGGATAGAGTCAGTACCAATATATCTGGGGTTCTGGAAAAAAATGTAATATACTGATGTCTGGTTGGTTATGATGGCTTCCATCTCTTGCATCTCAGCAGTAGTCTTTAGAAGAGTGTGTAATGAAAGTCAAGTCACAGCACGCCTCAACGACTGTCCTGATCTCAGCAGTAGATATTAACACCTGCAGCCTTATCCCTGCTAATTAAGGACTTTTATAAAACACACTCAAGGTGTCGCACAGCAGTGCATGTCCCATGTGCACTTGTGCTGCCATTTCCTAGTACTTCTATTTATATGCTCCCAGTAATTCTAGTTATATTGTTTGTATGACCTAAGTTCAAACTCAGCTAGTTCAAGTTCATTTGTATTCTGAGTTTAACATTTTCCTTCTCTGCTACGCTCCTGGTACAAAGACTAAGCTTTCTAGTCAAGTGCTCTTCTTTTATGTGTTTATATATTCCTTTTCAGTGTTTTATTAAAAACTGTTAACATGTTACAGCAAGTGAGGTAAATGGTTAGCCGTTATAGTTCAAGAAAGGAAAGGTGGCGTTACTCTTAAATTTCTTAATTGTATCTGCACTGCCATCAGTTTTGGTTCCTTCCAAGCCTCTCCCTAACTCACTCTCAATTGCAATGCTGCTGACTTCTCGATTCTGATTGGACAGAAGCCGATAATTCATTTTCTTCAACAGAACAGCTCTTACAGGTAGTGACAGCTGCAGTAAATCCCACGTGTATATTACTTTGTCAGTTTCACTGCGTAATGTATTTAATGTTTACAGTAGCCCATTAATTCAAAGGAACAGCTTAGTTTAATTGCTCATTTCCAGAAAGATTGATTTACATTGTAAAGGATTACTAATTACAATGATATTACATCACCTGGAGTTTCCGCATATATAGTAATACTCAGTGTTTCAAGCTGAAGCAACAAATGTTTCTTTTTCCCACCATATCTTTCTATAGTTTCATTCACATATGCTTTTCCATGAAAGATAAAGTGCTCAGTATATTTTCAGCAGCGTTTTTGTTCCTGTATTACTGTTGTCACTAAAGGAAGTGTGTAGGAGTGTATGTGAGAGAGACAGTGTGTCTCTAAAGCCCATGGACAGTTGCTTAGTAACTTTCAAAACAGAGGAGATCAAAATAGGCTGAGCTCCTCCAGAAACGACCAGGCACCTAATAAGATATGAATGTCTGAAGCATGACTCTGAATTCTTACTCTAACAAGTCCATAATAAGTCCATAACAAGCATCACAAGTATATTTAAAAAAGAATGAATGGAAAGATCAAGGTGTCAAGCTCTTTGTGATAATACGATAAAGACATCTGTGATGACAGTAGCCATGTTTCCATTCAAGTAGTGAATTTAACTTCACAACTTGTAAAATTTTAACATTTGTGAATAAAGTACCGTTTCCATCCCATGTGGCGGAGAGAACAAAATAGTCACTTCTTGGGAAACTAGAGCAAAGTATCAATACAAATGTAAATTGTTGCACCGGGGGAAGCCACTGTGGCTTCTTTTTTTTCCCAATATAATTAATTACTTGCGCTTCAGAGCACACAGACGAAACCCTGTCACAAACCTCAACATTTGAGATGCTGTGCAACTAAACTGGTCCGCTGGTTAGTCCAGTATGCCGACCCATTGCATCCCAGTTCAAACAGAATAACGTATTGCCATTGCGCTGTATAAGTTTCCAATCACATGATTTGATGAGGCAAAGTCACATGACTTTTTTGATGCGCATCGAGGAATTTATTTCTAAATATGTTTTGTGTATAGTATTTTATGTGCATGTCTTAAAAAAAACAAATTTAAAAAATTATCTGTCTCAATTGACAGCATAAGTCTTTTATGTGCATTTTGACTATTTTATTCACATCTACTGTTTCCATAAACCATTGTTTTGCATTTTTTACGAGACATCCCAAAATTCGCATGAAAAATACATGTAAGGAAACATGGCTAGCGAAATGTGACATGAACTGAGAAAATAAACAAAAGCATATAGGATGACATGAGTTGTATATATCTCATGGTCCAACTTACACTTCTGCCTCTCTCTCAGTTTGTATTTTTTTTTATTTTGACCCCAAGACTTCAGATTACAGATTGGACAGATCTGAGGAACAGCTGCCCGTTATTTCATTGCCCTGTGCTGCACTTATCAAGGCCTCTTGGTGTTTGCAGTTGAGTGCACTGGCATTGTTTTGTGCCATCCTCTTGCCCCACCACATGTCTGTGTGCTTGACTAACTCGCCTTAGAACAAGAAAGTCCTATGGATCACTGAGCAGCACAGATTATGAAGCGCCAAAGCGAGACTTGAGTTTCAAGCATCATGTTGTTGTTGGAGGTATAGCCTATAACTATCAGTCACAGATTTAAATCAGTGCCATTAGACCTGTTTTTTGCAGGGTTATTCTCTAATTCAGCCACACAATTAGACAATAATCTGTCTTTAAATGGATACATTTCATGAATACAATCTGCCATCTATGTATATTAATTATGGGCTAAGTGGCATTAGGGATATACATATAAATTCACTCGGCATATCCATGGCATATTAATTATTTGCAAACTTGACAGAAAAAAATTAATGAAAAGTTTATTAGTTGGACCAGACATGCGCTAAAATTTGAAAAAAGTTTGTAACATACAGTATTCTATATGTCAAAATTTGACACACACTGTAAAGCTGTCAAATGTATGCTTTGATATAATATTGTTGCAACTTTTGTAAAACATAATCCACAAAAACCTCACATAAAGAAAGTAGCTATAAAATAAGGAATAAAATAGGGTCATGCTTCAGTTAAATTGCATAGAAAACTACTCTCATCCCTTAATGTAAGTTTTAATACAGTCTTTCAGGCTGCACTCTGTGACAAAGTGTTGTATTATATAAAGTCTTACATCAGTGGGTGATATAGACTTCCAAGAAACACTGAATGGTAAAATTCTATAAAAGCCTCACAGAGAAATGAGCCATCAACAGTCAAATACGAGGTTTGAAAGTAGAGTATGCAATAGACTTGAAGGGTTCATTTGAAACACAATTTCTATAGTCCAGAACCATCGCACTGAGTAAGACATCAAATTGTTCAATGAATGAGTGTTTCCAATAAAGTGCGAATGTGCAAAGCAGTGAAACTGACTGTCAGCTCGGTTTTGAATACAAGAAAGGAAGGTCTTTTCAGTGATGACTATCTATTCAATGACATGGCGTAAAGATACACAAGAGCCAAATAAAAAAAAAAAAAGCAAAACTTTCAGACACATACTGAATGAACAAGGTTAAGCAATAACATGACTGTGGCAACTCCTATTCAGTTAAAGAAGCAGTCCAGCATCCATTAAAATTCAGAATAGGGGTAAATACTACAGGCAATAATTATGACAAATATTAAATATTAAAAAAGAGTCAACCTTTATTTAAAGTAACTTTTTTTTGCCGTGTATACTTTATATAGTATTTTAAATATTTACTGACCGCCAAACATCTGTCCTTAGACTGCCATTGTATGTGATTCCCAAGTCAACATGTTCCCTTTTCTTTTCTCAGTACAGGGAAATTGGATAGTACACACTATAGGAAAACTACCTTAAAGTGTTCATTTAATCGTCTGCACCATGACCAAAATACCTGCCCTGCTAAATATTGACAATACAATAGTGTGACTTGATATGGAGTTGTTCTTTGCAGAGAAATACTAGCCTTGGTTCTGCTAAGCCTCACCTCTGCAGCACTGCTCAGGCTCTCCTTGTTCTCACTGGCTCTCACGAGCAGCAGGTAGCGGTGCTGGTCAGTCTCATAGTCAAGACTGCGGGTCAGGCTGATCTCTCCACTTTCCTGATCAATGCTGAACAGGCTGCTGGGGTTGATAAGCAAGCTGTAGCTGATTGGCTCCTTTTGGAAAGACAACGCCGGAGTGACCAGAAAGCTGGAGAAGAAATAAAGAGAGATGTTACAACGAAGATGAAGGGTCAAAACCTACAACCTAGTGAATTGAAAGTTTCTATCCAAGTATAAAATGAAAGAAAATCTCTTTCCCTTGACAAGCGTGCCATAACGACTTCAAGCAGTGTTGATGGAAGAGTACACATTTTGCAAATTGAATTTGACAAAGATAACCCCATAAGCAAGCATTTATCCATTTATCCCACAGAGTATCATGGTAACACCACCCCAGAGAAGCCTCTGTGAGGAGTTCTGTGAACAAACTTGTGCTGGGACACTTAATCTTAATCACTGCAGACCTGAGGGC